AAAAAATAAGAAAAACTAAAATTTAAAAAAAAATTAACTTAACTTTGTATTATAAATATTACAAAATGTAGTTAAAAAATTTTTTTTTCTTCTCCTATTCAAGAACAAATTATGTATGCCAAATAATCAATTATAAAAATCCATTATTTTTCATTTTTGAACATACCTCGTAAATTCTAATTTTTATACTAAACAAAATCAAAAAGTGATCAAAAATTACATTATAATATAATTTAAATGATTTTAAAAGCATATTGTTAGTTTAAACTAATTTAATTTAAAATTGCTTAAAACTTGTGATTAGTTTTTGTAGCGTTTTAGCATAAAGCATTAGTTATTAGAGAGATCATATTTTATATATATATATATATATATATATATATATATATTTATTTATATATGTATATATAAATAAATTCATAAAAAATAAAATACTAATAATAAAATGCCATGGTAACATTATCACACAATACACAATTTAGTTCAAAATGTATCAAGATAACTTTAAGTACAAACGGAACATTTTTTGTCAAAATTCCTGGGAAATTTCAGTTTTTTATTTAATTTTTTCTTCTTACCAAATTGCATAAGTCAGACGTATATGACCGACATTGCAATCGACGTGTTTAAAAATTAACGTGGTAAAAAATGAGTATTTAGACAATGAATCTTATATCAAGAGTATTATATGTGTGTAAAATTGTTGATAAGAAATCAAAAATAATGAGTGTTTTAATAATAATTTTTAGTGTTTTATAAATTTATTTAATTATTTATTATTGGTAAATGAATTATGAAAGTTTACGTGTTGTCTGAAGTGTCATTATTATATCAATTTTTTAATTTTTCTTCCTTTTAACCGACATAAGATGTTGCGCAATCATTACAATTGATTTTGTATAGAAGCATCTGAACTTGAATTTGTTAGAGTAAATGTCTTGTTTTGTAAAAAATATTTTAAATATATGTATTGAGTTGCAAGTAAGTACTATTAAAAAAATTATATCAATTTATAAATTTTTGTTCAATTTAATCTACATAAGATGTTGCGCAATCATTACAATTGATTTTGTATACGATTTTTGTATCAAAGCATTTAAATTTGTTACAGTAAATGTCTTGTTTTTGTACAAAGATGTTTTAAATATATGTATTGAGTTGCAAGTAAGTACTATTTAAAAAAAATATATCAATTTTAATTTTTTTGTTAAATTTAACCCACATAAGATGTTGCGCAATCATTACAATTGATTTAGTATACGATTTTTGTATAGAAGCACTTAAATTTGTTATAGTAAATGTCTTGTTTTTGTGACTAAATGTTTTAAATATATGTATTGAGTTTCAAGTAAGTACTATTACAAAAATTATATAAATTTTAAATTTGTTATTCAATTTAACCTATATAAGATTTTGCACAATCGTTACAATTGATTTTGTACACCATTTTTGTATAGAAGAATTTAAATTTGTTAGAGTAAATGTCTTATTTTTGTAAAAAAAAGGTTTTAAATATATGTAATGAGTTGCAAGTAAATATTATAAAAAAATATAACTTTGTTACGTAAGGAATAAAAATAATAAAACAAATACTTTCTTATGTAAAAAATAAAGAGTAAATTTAAAAATATTTAAAAATAGGAGGATTTAGTTTTAGTTATGTATATATATATATATATATATATATATATATATTATGATCTCTCTGTAAAGCTACAAAAGCTACAGCTATTTTTTACGATAGTGCATTAAATAGAATTATTAGATTAGAATATTATTTATCCATTCAGAGTTATTTTTTGTGTCAAGTGTTTTATAAAAAATCCTTATGTAAAAATACTATAGAAAATATTCTATACACATCATTATTATTATTTTTATATCCTTCAACAACGATCATTAATGATATTATTTGTTTTTAAAAAATTAGCCTTATTTTGTAAAATAATAGCAGGGTGGACAGGGACAAATATTTGTCAGAATAAAAAAATTGACTTCAAATTTATTAATTATTTATGATAAATTTATATCAATTTTTGTCACTTTATCGTCATTATCGAGCTGACCTAAGCCCAAAATTAATTTATTTCGAAAATAGTTTCAGAAGTCAAATTTGAATTTTTTATCCGACAAATATTTGTTTTTGGTGATTTGAAAAAATAATTTTGGTACAAATGTCTATGGTTGAAAAATACATTCTTATATTTATGATATGCGTGATATTTTATAGAATTCATTTTAGAATAAAATGTTTATGGATAAAAAGCTATGGATTCACAGTTTTTTAATAATAAATTTAATTAGAAAATTTTTGAAGTTATATCCAATTGTAAAAAAAATCATACTGCCCTTTAGCATATTTATCAAAATACCTTTTGCTATTATTTTTTTAAAATAAAATTCATGTATTGTTCTACCTTTCATTAAAATCACTAAAGGCTGAAACAAGCTCTATATAATAATAATATTTATATAATATGATATATTATTATATGATAAATATTGATTATTAAACGCACTCAGACCAATGAAACATGATAAAAATTTTACTAAATAAATAATAAACGTTTATATTTTTATTTAAAAAAATGTTGGATAAATTTGGTATCCAAATAAATATATTGCTTCTGAGTTTATTACTTAAGACAACCTCAGATTTACTCATATGGAATTATAAGTAAAACTTTACCTAATCAAAATCCTTAAAATATTAGAGCCCTATGAAATATTACATTATTCATAAAATATCTAATTTCCAAGTTACATCAATATCCAATGCAAATATAATATATGTACCTGCATATTTCCTTCAAACATCAACTTTTGTTTGAAAAATGTAGGTAACAAATTAATGATTGTAAATACTTTATAAAATATTGTAACCATAGCCTTAACCACTGGACCATCTCTATATATTGATAATATTGTTCTAAATTTCATAAAAAATTATAATTATTCCATAGGTCTATAATATTTGAAAGCCTCCATTCTGTCCAAGTCGACCCTTACAAGTAACCCTGAGGAACTCCTTTGTGTAAATTTGTATGAATTTTATGATTACACGTTTTTCTGTCTCGCCTAATTTTCGTTGAGAGATTATTGCTAGTTTTATTATTAATATAAATTATCTAATACAGTAAAGATAATGTTGAAATCAAGATGAAATCCAAGAATTAAAATATCCTAACTATTTATAATAGAAACGGCACACCGGAAGAAACATTTGTCGGATTTCTTGAACACCTAGAATTTCTAGTTTTCTAGTCTTTAAATTTAATTAAACTAATAAATAAATATTAACTAATGATGAACTTAATATTTAGAGTGACAATATGATCACAATTAGAAGATTGGTGATGGTAAATATAATTTGTTAAGTAAAAAATATAAATACGGATGAGTAATTTTAATAGTCTAATTTTTTAAGTGTGACTAAATTTAGGAGCAAGCAAGGTTTTTCTGGTAAGTATAAATTGCAAAATGCACAAATGGATAACAAAATATAGAATCTACCAGATGCACAGAAAATGATAAAATTTTTGCCAAGTATGTGCAACTAGACTATAGTTTGCCAGATATTGTTAAAATGTGCTAGATAATACTGAAATTTCTCAGCGAAGTCTGCAACAGATAAGTCTACAATTTGCCAGCCAAGTCTAGAATAAACCAGATAAGTCTAGAATTCACCAGATAAGCCTACAATTCATAAGATAAGTCTAGAATTCACCAGATAAGTCTAGAATTCACCAGATAAGTCAAGAATTCACCAGATAAGTCAAGAATTCATAAGATAAGTCTAGAATTCACCAGATAGTGCAACTTTCGAGAAAGAAAAGCATCTTTCTAGAAAGGATCCCAAATTTCCAGAAAGGAGAGCAAATTTTTAAAAATGAGTGATACTTTTCAGAAAGGAGTGCAACTATTCGGAAATAAGGGCAACTTTCCAGAGGAGAATGCAACTTTCCACAAAAGAATGCAACTTTCCAGAAAGGAGTGCAAATTTCCAGAAAAAATACAACTTTCTATAAAATAGTGCAACTTTTTGGAAAGGAATGCAACTTTCCACAAAAGAGTACAAGTTTCCAGAAAGGAGTGCAACTTTCCAAAAAGGAATGCAACTTTCCAGAAGGGAGTGCAACTGTCCAAAAGAGAATGCTACTTTCCAGAAGGAAATACAACTTTCTAGAAAAGAGTGCAACTTTTCAGGAAGGTGTGCAACTTTCGAGAAACAAGTGCAACTTTTCAGAAAGGGGTGCAATTTTCCAGAAAATGATGCAACTTTCTAGAAAAGAGTGCAACTTTCCAGAAAGGGGTACGACTTTCCAGAAAAATTAGAAAAGGGGTACGACTTTCCAGAAAGGAGTGCAACTTTTCAGAAAGGGGTGCAACTTTCTAGCAACGTGTATAAATTTGCAGAAATGTATACAAGGAGAAAGGACTTTCCACAAACTAGCAACGTGTACAAGTTTGCAAAAATGTATATAAGGAGTGCAACTTTCCAGAAGGAAATGCAACTTTCCAGAAAGGAATGCAACTTTCCAGAAAGGAGCGCAACTTCCCAGAAATAAGTGCAATTTTTCAGAAAGGGGTGTGGCTTTCCAAGAAAAAAGCGCAACTTTTCAGAAGTGAGTGCAACTTTCCAGAAGGGAGTTCAACTTTCCAAAAGAGAGTGCAACTTTCAGAAGAAAGTGCAACTATCCAGAAAATAGAGCACCTTTCACAAAAAGTTCAACTTTCCACAAAAAGTATAACTTTCACAGAACAGTGCGTATTTTCAGAAAGGGAGAAAACTTTCTAGAAAAGAGTGCAACTTTATAAAGCGAGTGCAACTTTCCAGAAAGGAGTGCACATGTTTACAGAAATGTATACAATGGACAAAGTTCTATATAAAAGATCACATACAATTAATAACTGTACAAAATAGCGTATGCACAAACTTTAAAATCATCTTGCTCGCTCCTTAGTAAAATAATAAATAAAACGTTTATCCTTTATCTAAATTACATATGACTATTACAAACCGACCACTCATTCTGCCTCAACAAAAACTGCTTCACATTATACTCCATCTGCTCTAAATCAGTCATTTCTTTCTCCTCACTAATATTACCATTGCAAACGTTTTCTTGCTCCGGCACCTTGTTTCTGGTACCATCTTTATCGTCGTTGGCTTGATGCAACCTAATTCTCTGGTTATAGTCCAGGTTCCTGTACAAATCCACACTATCCAGGGACATTCTGTGGGATTTATAACTGGCTTTAGATCTATTTTTATGGGAACCACTATCACTGTCTGTGCAATTTGCATTATCCATATTGGCATTGGCGTTGACCCATTCTGCGACTCTGTGGAGTTGTTGGCGTAAAAGTTGGGCACTTTCTCGAATTTCTGCACTTGACATGGAACTGGATTCTAGGGATTGGCTTGTGTTGTCACCTGTGCTGGAGTTTAGTTTGTCTAGTTGGTTGTTGTTGAAGTTTTCAGGATGGTTGATGGATTCTTCAGCATTGTTGGTGTCGACGTCGTCTGATAAGTTGATTCCGGAATCCCTGTTTGTGGTGTTGTAAATAGCTGGGCCACTGATGGTCCAGTTGTTTTGCCCTAAATTATCATCATACTTGTTTGGATCGTAGTGACCAAAAGTTTTACCAGTGTCCTGGTCAGACTTGTTATAATTGCTATCCTGGTACACCAAACACCTGTCACTATAACCTTCACCATTATAATCACCCAACGTTCTCTTATCAGTTTTACCAGCACTACTCTCACCGCAAGGATCTTGTCTAACACCTTCTTGCTGGTCACCTAATTTATCATCATCCAATTTGTTCCTGAACAACCTCACCTTATCCTCCTGCTCCTGATTTTGGCCAACTGCCAACAGTTTTCGGTTGATTTCCATCAAATCTCGGAGGGTGAGTTTGGTGTTTGAGGGATTTTGATGTTTACTGGAAGATATGACTTCGTTTTCCAAATCTAGTTTTCTTCTGGTGTATAAGACTGGTGCCATGTTGTTTTCGGATTTGTTCAAAATTACGTTGGGACTTCCGTCTTGGATTCGGAGAGAGCATAGTCTTGGACCGGCTTTCGGGTTTTCAGACTGGAATCATATATGGCATGGTAAAAGATATATATCATTGTGAGCATGCCTTGTAACTTCTTCTAAATTAAAATTTGTACAAGTAACTGGAGACTACTACTAACTACTAACTACACTAAACAAACTTAGGATACGATACACAAATATTCAAATATGGTAAGGGAAGTTCCAGCAACAAAACACAAAGCCATGCGCTAATAGTTTCACTGGATTTTTTATCCAAATTAGACAAATCCAAACATAAAAACTCCAATTGATAGATAGACCGAATTTTTTCAGCATTTTAGCAACCAATTTGTGCCTTTAGTATGTAAAATAAGTGCAACAAATGGGTTTCCCAGAACTCAACGTCAAGTTAAAACTATCACAAAAAACAATTAAAATGACGGGCTTTAACTGATTTAATTCAAGGGCGCAACCCAGAGCTTTCACAAAGTTGTGCCTTTGTTATGTAAGTGCAACTAAAAATATAAAATATTGAAAAAATCACGTCAAATTTCTAAAAACTAATTCATATTATATAAATAAGTTATTCAATATGCTGGGTGTCCCAGAACTCAACGTCAAGTGGAAGCTATCACGAAAATAAATTCAGGAAATAATTAGAATTAAGAGCTTCTAATTGCAACCCAGAGCTTTGGTGAAGTTGTTTGATAAAATATTGAAGAAATCGTTAAAAATCGATAAAAAAACTAAATTTAAATATATAAGTGAATTATTCAAATTATAAGTGAGCATAAATGAGTTATTCAATAGACAGGGTATCCCAGAACTCAACGTTAGTTAAAGACGAGTTAAAGCTACCGTAAAAAAATAAATTACAAAATAATTAAAATAAAAGTTGGTAAAGTTGTTTGGTAAAATATTGAAGATAATCACATAAAATCGCTAGAAAAACTAAATTACATTATATATATGAGTTATATTAAGGGTGTCCCAGAACTCAACATCGGGTTAAAGTTATAAACAAAATAGGAAATAATTAAAATTAAGAGATTTTAAGTGCAGCCCAAAGCTAAAATTAAAAACTTAACTAGGATTTATGAAAACTAAATTAAATTATATAAGTGAGTTATTCAATATACAGGGTGTCCCAGAACTCAACGTCAAGTTAAAGCTATCATGAAATAAAATTAGGAAATAATTAAATTCAAGAGTGCAACCAAAGGCTTTGGTAAAGTTAGGCCTTTGTTATTTAAAATAAGTGGAACTAAAAGAGAAATTATTCAATATACAGGGTGTCCCAGAACTCAACGTCAAGTTAAAGCTATCACAAAAAAAATTGAAAAACAATTAAAATTAAGAGCTTTTAATTGCAACCCAGAGCTTTGGTAAAGTTGTTTGGTGAAATATTGAAGAAATCACAATAAATCGCTAAAAAACTAAATTAAATTATATAAATGAGTTATTCAATATACAGAGTGTCCCAGAACTCAACGTCGAGTTAAAGCTATCATAAAAAAATAGGAAATAATTACAATTAAGAGCTTCTAAGCAACCGAAAGCTTTGGTGAAGTTGTGCCTTTATTATCTAAAATGAGTGCAACTGAAAATATAAAAAATTGAAAAATTCACGAGAAATTTTTAAGAATTAAATTATGTTATATAAATGAGTTATTCAGTATACTGGTTGTTATATAAATGAGTTATTCAGTTATACAGTTCTGGGTATCCCAGAACTCAACGTCAAGTTGAAACTATCGTGAAAAAATAAATTTAGAAAATAATTAAAATTAAGAGAGCTTTTAAGTGCAACCAAAGGCTTTGGTAAAGTTGTGCCTTTATTAACTAAAACAAGTGCAACTAAAGATATAAAAGATTTAAAAATCACGACGAATTTCTAAATTATTAAATTATTTTATATAAATGAGTTATTCAATGTATATGTCCTAGAACTCAACGTCAAATTAAAGCTTTCATAAGAAAAAAAATAGGCAATAATTAAAATTAAGAGAGCTCCCAAGAGAGAACCCAGAGAGCTTTGGTGAAGTTGTGCTTTCCTTATCTAGGGTAAGTGCAACTAATAATATAAAATAATAAGAAAATCACGACAAATTTCTTGAAAAACTAAGTTAAATTATATTATATAAACGAGTTATTCAATATACAGGGTGTCCCAGAACTCAACGTCAAAAAAATTGGGAAATAATTTATTTCACGTAGTTAGAATTTAAACTTGTAAGAGCAACCTAGACCTTTGGTGAAATCATGAGCATTTTTTGGTTATTGTGGTTATTTTTTTCAAATTTTGTTTATTTAAGATTTGGATCTGTAGTCATTAATAACATTTCTAAGACCTTAGGTCAAAATAATAAAGTAATTACCCCAGGTTTTAAAAAATTTAGACTTTTTGTGGAACTAAGAATCCAAATATTCAAAATATGCCGATTTTGAGAGGCTCTCCTTGAAAAAAATGCACTAAAGTGTCCTGGAAAATTTCATCTAAAGTTGGCACATTTAGTCAGGATTGTAAAATTGGAAAATGCTTATGTTTTATGAAAAAAATTGAGTAACAGAATAAAAGCCTAACAATAACACAATAACGGCTAAAGGCTTTTTGCTTATGTTTTTTATCACTAAAAATATTATTTTTTACCATTTTACAATCCTAATTAAATGCACAAACTTTTGATGGAACTTTCTAATACATTTTAGTACAGTTTCTTAAAAAAACTGCATTTCAAATGCAAACAGGTTTGAAGATTTTAAATACATAGTTCAATAAAAAGTCCTAATTCTCTATAACTTTTTGTCAATAGGAGAATTTGTCAATATTTTAGACTTTAGTCTTAGAAATGTTATTCACGGTTATGGTTCCAAAATTTAAGTAAACCAAAATAATAAAAATTTACTAAAATAACCGGAAAATAGTTTCAGTTTCACCAAAACTCTAGGTTGCACTTAAAAGCTCATAATTTCCAAACAACTTGCAATAATATTCTAAACTTTTTCATCACTACTTTTGACTTGACGTTGAGTTCTGGGACACCCTGAATACTAAAAAATAAAACAATGCAACAACTAAACAAAATTTATTAGACAAACATATTGAACAGATCAAAAATTATATAACGATAAAATAAATAACACAAATAAAATAAAAATAGATGCCAATCTAAATTATATTAGAGTGGTCCTTAATATGGATATTTTCAAATTTCTTTGCTCCCAGGAGCTCAAATTCTTCCAAATTGATAATAGAAAATTTTCTGAAAATTTCTGGTCTTAAAATTAACTTTTAGATAGTGCGCAATTCAATCAAAGCTTCGTATGAAAATATCATGGAAAAAATTTTGAAAATTTTAAAATTGTTTTTTGGTATAACTTAGCGACAAATGAATGACTTAGTGACAATTCGTGTCATCTTTTATTGAAAATTCGACGTTCTGCAAAACGGGTTTTTTGTAATTTCTTTTGTCATCTTAATATTGTCATTTGCTCGCTAAGTTATATATGAAGAACATTCTAAAAATTTTGGAAAAATTTTCTCATGTTTCTTTCATACAAAACTTTGATTGAATTGCGCTCTAACTAAAAGACAATATTAAAAGCTAAAACTTTCAGAGAATTATTTTTTAATCAATTTGGAAGCATTTGAGCCCTTGGGAACTAAAAAATTCACAAATGTCCATATTAAAGACCGCTCTAATTATGATATATTTACTCTACCTTAATCGACTGTATAAGATTCCTATTAAAATTCTCGAATATCTTCGACGAGCACTGGCTCGTCTTGCCAGTGGAACCTCCAAAACTTTTTTTACGATCACCACCATTACTCTTGGCACCACCATCAACATCCAACAAATCAGCACCACCATTCCTGTCTCTCCTATCCAGGATATCAATTTTATAATCATCCTTATTCAATTTATCACAGAGTCGATGATGGCCAACCAACCCAACAGGATTATCGAAACTTATCAAATCCTCGTGGAGTTTACTGACATTTGATTTCAGCATTTTGCTTATATCGTTGGTGGCGTTTTTGATGTTCTGGATGTCGGTTTTGGAGATGACGTGGCTGCAACATCGGACGCAGATGTTTTGTTCGGGAAATGGGGCGTAGGTTTGGGTCGATATCGAAAATTGTGATAAGGGTTCGATGAGTAAATTCAAGTCTTTTGTGGCACAACGGCAGGTTTCGCAGTGGTGCTTCGTGTCTCTGATGCCGTCTTCGAGCACTTTGGCCACCACTGCGGCCGAGACGCTGATGTCTTCGTTTGTGTAGGAATCGCCGTCTGTGTCTGGGAAGAAAATATAAATTAAAGTTGAAGTATATGAATTATACATAACACAATTTGAATGATTTTTAAAAAATATATATCAAAAAAAAAATCGTGCATTTTTGTGTCAAGGCGGTTGATATGGTTAGGTTAACCTAGTGGTTTCCAACCTTTACTTCCTTGCGCACCTCATTCGAAAGAAAAAAATATTGCGCACCCCCCCCCCTTAATTTTACTAACAATTTATTTTAAATATAGTTAACTGAAATTATTCAAAATAATACAAAATAATTTAAAAAAATTTGACATACGGATATAACTATTGATTATAAGAAAAAATAATTTTAAATTTAATGAAAACAAATCATAAAATAATATATAGCATAACATTAAAAAACTTTAATGCGACTGTTGAGCTTGTTTTTTTAGCAAATCATCATATTTCTCAATGACAAATGAAATTCTAATCCATTCGTAATTGGACATATCTAGATATTTCAAGTAATGCGAAAATTGGTTCCTTAGACTAGTCATATGATTGATAATAAGATCTTTACTTATTTTTATTTCATCAGTAACACAAAGATGGAAAACACGTCAAAGTTATTAGTTTCATTACAAGCTATCCACAGTTTTAATTTTTTCATAAAAGCCATAATCTTGTCTTTCTGAAGAAAAGCATGAATTTGAGATCCTGGCATTGATTTATTTAATTCGCTTAGTCTTTGAAAAATATCAACTAGATACGCAAATTTTGCGAAGAACTTCGTGTCCTAAAACAAACCTGCTTCATCTCTTTTGTTATCAGCAAGAAGATAGCAATTTCTTTTTTGATTCCTTCACAATAATAAAGTAGTACATTTTCACAATGTGCTTAATAATAATAAAGTAGTACTTTTTGAAGTACAATTGTCTTGCACGTATTTAGCTGATTTATTTTTGAAAGTTACTCAGCATTTGAAATTAATATTTTTAAAACAACTTCTTGCCCCCCCCCCTGGAATGGTATGACGCCCCACATATTGTGCAACAGATGGGTTAACCCGTTAAAAATTTGGCAATTTTTCTACTTTTGCCAAATAACTCACAAAAGCACTCTTTTTTAGTTAGCTTAGGAGAAACTAGATAAAATTTACAACATTTCCTAGAGAACACTTTTATACACTCCGATATAAAAGTTTTGAATAAAACGACTGTGAACTTGATTCTTCATCATTTAGCTAGCAGGAAATAGAAAATTTGGGACATTTTTTTACTTTTTGTCAAATAACTCACAAATGTTATATAAAGACACTGTTTTTTTAGTTTGATAACAGGAAACCAGATAAAATTTACCACATTTCTATAAAAACAGTTATATACAGTCCGATATAAAAGTTTTGAAAAAAACGACTTTGAAATTGATATTTTATTTTTTAACAATAAATAGAATAAAATTCAAGCCTTTTTTTGGTTTTTGTCAAATAACTGACAAATGTTATATGAAAGCACTCTTTTTATGTGAGATAATGTGAAACTAGATAAAATTTACTACAATTCCATGACAACAATTATATACACTCCAAAGAAAGTGCTATTTTTTTTTTCAAATCAGTTATAAGAAAAATTTAATATATATTATACAAGGGTCAAAAGCAAGAAAAAACAGATATAAAACTTAGATAAAAAAGTATTACATATAATTGATTTTTGAAGTTCTTAGGTACTAAAACTCCACAATTCCGATTAAAAAATCTATTGATATAAAAAAACTATTAAGTGTATCCTTAAAAAGCATTTGTTATTGTTATTAAAGCCAACTACCCTCCCCCCCCTTGTCGCAGTAGGATACTAACGTCCCGGTTTTGACCCAAAAACATATGGTTACTGTAGAATTTATGTTAAAAGTTTATGTGAATAATAATATAACCGTTTATGCAGAAGGATAAAAACAGACTGACTGATTATATATTCTTTAACTAATCACATGCATTACAAATATTATTAACAATCACATGTTTCACATAAAACAAAAGACAAACATAAATACATAAACATAGTAGACACAGAGCGTTTAGTATCAAACTTCAACAGTCACCTTACTTTAACATATAAAATTTGCGAGTTATTTGACAAAAACCAAAAAAAAATCTAGAATTTTCTATTTATTGCCAAAGAATGAAAAATCAAATTCAAAGTCGTTTTATTCAAAACTTTTATATCGGAGTGTATAAAGCAGAATGCATGAATGGATGAGAATAAATCTTTTATTTTGTTTTTCTTTTTATTTGTATAATTAACTATTATTATAAATATTGCTTTGTGGGTTTTTTTTGGAGAAAAAGTATTCTTTCCTCTTTTTTGCACACACGATATGTCACACATCTCGCTGTATTTACAATATTCACTGTACATATTAAGATCAATTATGTAATATAAAATACCCAAGGGTAGAAAAATATGTGTTAACTAACAATGCAAGTGTATGATCAACTATTGAAATAAATACTTTTTGTCTGTCTGTCAAGGCACAATGCCACTTACTCCTTACTATTACCACTATAACTACTAACCGTATCCCCTCATCCCGTAGACCATGGCGGTCGGCGGGAAGGGGCAGGTATTAGGCCCCGTTCCGCTGGCCGGCGAAGGGCTGTTGTCCCTCGGCGGGGTGCCTCCGGGCAGCATGCGGTAGTCGCTGCGAGGCCTTCGGGGCGAAGAAGCCGAGCTGCCGGGCGGAGTCGCCGATTCGGCGTCGAGGCGCATGTAGGCAGCCACTTTGGATTGGACGTCTAATGGCAACTAGGGAAGAAAGTTAATTTAATATATATTATATATATATATATAAATTAAGGTGGTCCTTAATATGGACATTTTCAAATTTCCCTGCTCCCAAGGGCTCAAATGGTTCCAAATAGATAAAAAACAATTCTCTGAAAGTTTTAACTCTTAATATTGACTTTTAGATAGTGCGCGATTAAAAAATTAATGATATAAAAATTATTGAACACTAAATTTGTTTAAAAAAAGAATATACTAATATATTAATAACGAGGAATTAAAGGAGCACATATTGTCCTCCTATATTGTATGTTATAAATAGCGGTGCATTATGAACACTGTTCAAGGTGACGCAGTAAGTGTGGTGATTGAGTGGGAGAGGGTTGAGATATATAATTAATAATAGTCTTTATATAGTTTTTCTTGATCGCTGATACCTATGATTTTATTTTTCTGAACTGAAAGTCACACTCCACTCAAATATTTTTTCATCTATTACGATCTGCTTTTCTTGTTTATAGAATGCATCGTTCTTCCGCAAATACTTAAAAAGCAAGACTTTTATATATATTAGAACACATTCTTAAATTATTCCAAAATCAAAAGAATTCACTTAAACTACAAACCTTCATTAAACTATAAACATTTTTAAATTAAACATTCACTGGCAATTAAAATGAACTTCAGTTAGTTCCAGATATAGTTTTCAAAAATTTAGATTGCATTTAAATTTAACTAAAACCTTTAATGGCACACAAATTAGAGTTTGTAATTCAAACTCCAATCAAACTAATATTAGAATGTAAATATATAGCATTTTTATTAAATTCGCAGTGTATAATGACTTGTTTGTATTCTAAAAATTTAACATATTCTCTAAACAATGTATGATACACTAGTATTTGTTATAAAAATTAATTTCTAAGCATCGATATAAAAAGCAGCTGCAAGCAAATTATGTAATATATATATATATATATATATATATATATATATATATATATATATAAAAATATTTTTGATGCAATATATTAATTTTAAATTAACGACGGTTTGGAAACATTTTGTTAGTAACAGTATCGATTCGGTAATACTGAATAACATTTTGTTACATTATTCAAAATAAACTTCATTGTAGATAATTATCGATTTTGCACAAGCACTAATTTATATTGACAAGAAATTTGCTTCATAATACAAAAAAATAATGCCAATAAAGTTCACTTTACATAATTCTGATAATAATTTAATTTACTTCATGCTGATATTTATTTAATTATACTTACAGAATTTAATTTTTGTGGAACAAAGTTATCAGGTTTGCATTGTATAAGTTGAATTGCAAGACTCATGTCGCTTTTGTATCGTTCCTGAAATAAGAGAAAATTTAGTCAGCAATAATAATAGAATTTATATAAGCTTATTTATATAAACTTTCATATATAAACTTATGTACGAAAAGTTATAATTATTGGCAAAAATAATTGTTTATTTTATTCTATTACTAGTTTTAGCTCAGAAACATAGATGTTCACTTGTTATTCAGGTGTATATTGTGTAGGTATGTGGAATGTGATTTCGATTTATAATAATATTATATATGCATCAGGTGTAATTTCTTATGAATTTCTTATTTTTAGCGGATTCTCTGACCTTAATTGTGAAAAATTAAAACTTCTGTTATTGCAGATTATTATAGAACCGTGCTTAAATTTGTAATACTAATATTATTATTTATATAAGCGTTATCTACGAGTCACAATGTGCTCAGGTTTTCTTCATTTAATATTTATTAGTTCATATTTTGATTAAACAGTTTAATTAAAACAGATTTAAACAGAATAATGTCTTTTAAAGAAAAAAATTCACATCTGTTAATGTACTTGATAAATTACAAAGCAATTTTAGTTAATAGTAAAAAGTATTTTGAATTAGATTTGATGTCTGATAATTACTTTGAAATTATTGAAAAATTATTATGGATTTTTTTTATAATTTTCGATATATGTTAAATAAATATAAATATAAAATATTAGAGATTCCAAACGTACAAGAGTTTTGTGAATTTTTTATAATCGACACATTTTGCTTCATTTCACCTATATTTAAATCGAAAAAGTAAATTTTCACCATCGGAGTTATTCTTCGTACTTATATAAATAATATATTCTATTTTCTAAATTTTTATTTATTGCAGTCAAAAAAAACTAATATTGATGCCCTATAAAATCATTTTGTAATAAAATTATTGAACATTTAAAAAATATGGTCAAAAAAACAAATTAAGGATCTTAAACCCTCAGTAATACCATTATTTAATTGGTGTTCAAAATAATTAGACAAAATAATCGATATTTAATTTATCAAATAATTTAATATAACACATTAATTGCCATGTCAGTCATATGTGTCTGACGCTAAAAAGTTCTTTATGAGTCATGTTAGTAGAAGCAAAAAAGTTTTAATCTAAAGCCATGCCAGTCATAAGTGTGACATAAAAAATAGTGTTTTTTCAAAAATGTTGTCAAGTTCTTTTTTATCATCCAAACGAACTGATTGCAAGTCTTTACAACACCACACACAATATAAGATTAAAAAGAATACAATTAATAGATCTAACATATTAATCAGTAATGAGTTTAAAATAGGTGTGTGTATGTATGTGTATATGAGTCTGTGTAATGTCCTTTTTTATAATTGTATGTATATTTGAGTTTCTTTTTTTTTCTTTATTATACCAAAATTATAATAAAATTTGTACACTAATGAAAGGTGAACCACTGGGTTTTATTTTAAAATTTAATGTTATTTGTCAAACTAATTACTCAATGTCTTTTTATTAGACAGATTGTAATTTATAAGAGAAAAAAGTTCTTTTCTTAAAAAAGGAGATCTCATATGAGATCAACTCTTTAAAAATATGTATAAAACACTCAGCATATTGTCTTAAAAAATTATATTATTTTGATTGTCAAAAAATCTATGCAAGAAAAAGTATTTTCTTCGATACATTTTGAAGTAAATTATCTAAACAAAAACTATGGCCCATTTTCATTTTATTATAAAGATATAAGTCATAAAGACAGAAGTATTATTAAATATTTTCTCTAACTACTTACTACTTCTCTTTGTAAATTGGTGACTGTATAGTTGGCCTGGGCCAGCCTGACCGACAAAGTGGCCACGTCGCTGGTCAATTGGGCCCTTTCGCCTGCACCTCGGTCGACCAGCCTTAATAATTTATCTTCTAAACCCTGGTTTAATTTCTGGACACGCACGTGCGAATCGTATAATCTAAAAAATAATAAAAACATTCAATGGACAATAAAATAGTCATTAATAAACCTATAATTTTATAATGAAACAAAAGGTGTGAAATTGACTAATCATTACCTAACTTATAATTTTATAGTGAGATTGATTTTGATACTGTCTGGAGATTTTTAGTTCTAATCAAAATAATTAAAAAATCTGTTCACACACACACACACACATACTTTTTCCAAATTTGGTCTCATTCGATTCAGAATGGCTTGAAATGTCGAGAAAACATAAAATTAGCGAATCGGATTTTTTGATGAAAACATGAACTTCTCTTTCGGGAAGTTAAAAAAATTTTAGTACGTACAAAATGGACTAATATTAGGTTGTCAAATATCTCCCTTCCGCTTTTTTGCTCTTGGTTTATAATACAAAAAGGCGGAAGGGAGATATTTGACAACCTATTATTAAATTTTAATTTAAAAATATATTTTTGTATTAGCAGATTTATTATTTTTATATATTGTCCATGAAAGTACTGTGTTTTATTTTGTACTCTATTCTATTTAAATTTATGTTATTGTTCATCATTGTTACTAGAGATGTTAAATTATTTAGCAGTTGTAACAAATATTGTAATTAAAAATATATATATATTGCTTATGAAATTATAATAGACAAAGCCAATTTTTAATCAATTGCACATTTGTTTTCAGTACCTTCCATTACATTTTTTAATTTTATACAATTTGCTATTCAAATTTCATTTTATAAATTTAGTAAAGTAGATTATATAAATATATTAGTAACTAGATGACCCGACAGACGTTTGTCCTGTACTTATGTCTACAGTTCAAAAATTCCATTTTTTTTTTAATAACCTATACTGATATTTACCAATTAGTTAAAAATTATTATGTTTTTTTACACTACAGTCTATACAGAAATGTATTATACATCCACCCATATGGATCTTAATGTACAACTGCTATGAATAAAATGATAAAAATTTGCTTTTTTGAAAAAACATTATAAAATATGTTTTCTTATAATTAGTCCTTTTATCGATATCCGACGTTATTTTGAAAAAAAATGAAATTACACCACTGAGAGGAATGTCATCCCCCCGGGAATGCCCAAAGAGACTTAATTATTTTCACTTTTGAACTTGAGAGTAAGATAAAACTAATTTCAGAAGTTCATACAAATTGGACAGTAAAAAAAATCAGGCCCAAATTCTCCATTGACTTTAGTAAATATTCCTATCCGATGGCAAAAATATGAAACTACTAACGTTTGCATGTGAAAAAGAAAAGCTGTTTTAGGGTTTTACCGGCAATATTCGATTTTTTCTCAAAAACATTTAAAAAAAGAATTGGCCTAAATCGGTCCAGGCGTTGTTGAATTATGCGCTTACCAACACATTTTGCAATTCATTTTATATTATAGATAAAGAGAATTTTAGTGTAAACTTACTCTATCATTTAATATTATAATGTTTTACAGAACCCTCAGTGCTAAAGTTAAATTTTCGTTAATTAAATATCAATATCAGACAGAAGTTTGGTACTCGAGATTAGACTATACGATAGACTCGTATATAAATATGTCACTTTAGATAAAATAATTATCAGTATATAATTAATTTATAATAGATTGATTTAAAGTTTAGATATCACTTGTGTAGATGACGCATTAATATATAATTTTTTTAATAAACCATTATTATGGTAAACTATAATTTGTTATTAATATATTAATGACTCAAAATTTGCAATATTCAGTACCTTTAATAGTTGTAGTTATAGCTACAACTATTGCCATTTTTCTATTTTTTGCCTAAAAATTACCATTTTTAAAGTCTAGACATAAAATTATTCAATACAAAAACATTCATTATTTTTTAAATGTACCAAAACGCTCTTGAAACAAATAAATCGAACAAAATATGTTAATTATATTCGTTTTTCTACGAATTCAACAATATACATTTCTAAAAATTGAAAACATTATTACTAATCTAAAGAAACAATTGCATTGTTCAATCAATATAGGTATTTTAGATTTGAATAACTTACTATTGTGAAAATTAGGAATGTATTATATTTTATTGTTTTTGTTTTTCGAGGCTTATGACAATATCAGAACACTATTGTTCAGTAACATCCATATTTTATATCAAATACCAGAGTGATCAAATTGCTTGAAACCAGATATACCAAATAAAATAAATACTTTTGTTTTACGATTTCAGTAACAAAACGCTTGTGTAATTGTCTATTGTTATTCTCGAGACAAGCGACCAAATCGAACAAACAATTGTTTAAATTTCTCATATTTACCAATCATTATTATTATATTCTTCAATGAATGCCCAATATACCCATTCTTCATAGGAATCTTATTACTCTTAGTCAAGGAAAATGAAATACCT